TACAACTGATGGGAAAAAAGTGGGTTGTGCACTGAGGCATCTGTGGAGACAAAGAACATTATCCAAGGAGGCAAAGGGGGGAACATATCAGAGGATAATGATAACACTTGTATGAATGTAAAGTTTTTTTTTTTTTTCAACAAGTCGGCCGTCTCCCACCGAGGCAGGGTGACCAAAAAAGAAAGAAAATTCCCAAAAATAAAATACTTTCATCATCATTCAACACTTTCACCTCACTCACACATTATCACTGTTTTTGCAGAGGTGCTCAGAACACAACAGTTTAGAAGCATATACGTATAAAGATACACAAAATATCCCTCCAAACTGCTAATATCCCGAACCCTTCCTTTAAAGAGCAGGCATTGTACTTCCCATTTCCAGGACTCAAGTCTGGCTATATAAAAATAACCGGTTTCCCTGAATCCCTTCACTAAATATTATCCTGCTCACACTCCAACAGATTGTCAGGTCCCAAATACCATTCGTCTCCATTCACTCCTATCGAACACGCTCATGCACGCTTGCTGGAAGTCCAAGCCCCTCGCCCACAAAACCTCCCTTACCCCTTCCTTCCAACCTTTTCGATGATGACCCGTACCCCGCCTTCCTTCTCCTACAGATTTAAATGCTCTCCATGTCATTCTACTTTGATCCATTCTCTCTAAATGACCAAACCACCTCAAAAACCCCTCTTCAGCCCTCTAATACTTTTATTAACTCCACACCTTCTACTAATTTCCACACTCTGAATTTTCTGCATAATATTGACACCACACATTGCCCTTAGACAGAACATCTCCACTGCCTCCAACTGCCTCTTTGCTGCTGCATTCACAACCCAAGCTTCACATCCATATAAGAGTGTTGGTACTAGTATACTTTCATACATTCCCTTCTTTGCCTCCATATATAACGTTTTTTGACTCCACATATACCTCAATGCTCCACTCACCTTTTTTCCCTCAACAATTCTATGATTAACCTCATCCTTCAAAAATCCATCCACTGACACGTCAACTCGCAAGTATCTGAAAACATTCACTTCTTCCATACTACTCCTCCCCAATTTGATATCCAATTTTTATTTATCTAAATCATTTGATACCCTCATCACCTTACTCTTTTCTATGTTCACTTTCAACTTTCTACCTTTACACACATTCCCAAACTCATCCACTAACCTTCGCAATTTTTCTTTAGAATCTCCCATAAGCACAGTATCATCAGCAAAAAAGTAACTGTCATTTTGTATTTGATTCCCCATAATTTAACTCCACCCCTCTCCCAAACACCCTAGCATTTACTTCTTTTACAACCCCATCTATAAATATATTAAACAACCATGGTGACATTACACATTCCTGTCTAAGACCTACTTTTACCGAGAAGTAGTCTCCCTCTCTTCTACAGACCCTAACCTGAACTTCACTATCCTCATAAAATCTCTTTACAGCATTTAGTAACTTACCACCTATTCCATATATGTACTTGCAACATCTGCCACATTGCTCCCCTATCCACTATCATATGCCTTTTCTAAATCCATAAATGCAATAAAAACTTCCCTATCTTTATCTAAATATTGTTCACATATATGCTTCAATGTAAACACTTGATCTACACATCCCCTACCCACTCTGAAACCTCCTTGCTCATCCGCAATTCTACATTCTGTCTTACCTCTAATTCTTTCAATAATAACCCTACCGTATACTTTTCCTGGTATACTCGGTAAACTTATTTCTCTATAATTTTTGCAATCTCTTTTGTCCCCCTTCCCTTTATATAAAGGGACTATACATGCTCTCTGCCAATCCCTAGGTACCTTCCCCTCTTTCATACATTTATTAAACAAAAGTACCAACCACTCCAACATTATATACCCCCCTGCTTTTAACATTTCTGTCATGATCCTGTCAGTTCCAGCTGCTTTACCCCCTTTCATTCTATGTAATGCCTCACGTACCTCCCCCACACTTACATTCTGCTCTTCTTCACTCCTAAAAGATGGTATACCTCCCTGGCCAGTGCATGAAATTACCGCCTACCTTTCCCTTTCCTCAACGTTTAAAAGTTCCTCAAAATATTATCACCATCTACCTAATACCTTTCTTTCCCCATTTACTAACTCCCCTACTCTGTTTTTAACTGACAAATCCATACGTTCCCTAGGCCTTCTTAACTTGTTTAACTCACTCCAAAATTTTTTCATATTTTCATTAAAATTTCTTGACAGTGCCTCTCCCACTCTTTCATCTGCTCTCCTTTTGCACTCTCTTACCACTCTCTTCACCTTTCTTTTACTCTCCATATACTCTGCTCTTCTTATAACACTTCTGCTTTGTAAAAACCTCTCATAAGCTAACTTTTTCACTTTTATCACACCCTTTACTTCATCATTCCACCAATCACTCCTCTTTCCTCCTGCCCCCACCCTCCTATAACCACAAACTTCTGCCCCACATTCTAATACTGCATTTTTAAAACTATTCCAACCCTCTTCAACCCCCCCACTACTCATCTTTGCACTAGCCCACATTTCTGCCAATAGTCGCTTATATCTCACCCAAACTTCCTCCTCCCTTAGTTTATACACTTTCACTTCCCTCCTACTTGTTGTTGCCACCTTCCTCTTGTTCCATCTACCTCTTACTCTAACTGTAGCTACAACTAAATAATGATTCGATATATCAGTTGCCCCTCTATAAACATGTATATCCTGGAGCCTACCCATTAACCTTTTATCCACCAAGACATAATCTAACAAACTACTTTCATTACGTGCTACATCATACCTTGTATATTTATTTATCCTCTTTTTCATAAAATATGTATTACTTATTACCAAATCTCTCTCTATACAGAGCTCAATTAAAGGCTCCCCATTTACATTTACCCCAGGCACCCCAAATTTACCTACTACTCCCTCCACAACATTTTTACCCACTTTAGCATTGAAATCCCCAACCACAAGTGCTTTCACACTTGGTTCAAAACTCCCCATGCATTCATTCATCATTTCCCAAAATCTCTCTCTCTCTCCTCTACACTTCTCTTCTCCAGGTGCATATATGCTTACTATAACCCACTTTTCACATCCAACCTTTATTTTACTCCACATAATCCTTGAATTAATACATTTATAGTCCCTCTTTTCCTGCAATATCTTATCCTTCAACATTATTGCTACTCCTTCTTTAGCTCTAACTCTATTTGAAACCCATTTATTCCTCTCCAATGAAACTCTCCCACCCCTTTCAGCTTTGTTTCACTTAAAGCCAGGACATCCAGCTTCTTCTCATTCATAACATCCACAATCATCTCTTTCTTATCATTTGCACAACATCCACACACATTCAGACTTCCCACTTTGACAATTTTCTTCTTATTCTTTTTAGTCATCTTTACAGGAAAAGGGGTTACTAGCCCATTGTTCCCAGCATTTTAGTTGACTTTTACAACACGTATGGCTTACGGAGGAAAGGTTCTTATTCCACTTCCCCATGGATATAAAAGAAAAAGTAATAAGACCAAGAACTATTAAGATAAAATCAAAGAAAACTCAGATGAGTGTGTATAAATAAACTTGTACATGTATGTGTAGTGTGACCTAAGTGTAAGTAGAAGTAGCAAGACATACCTGTAATCTTGCATATTTATGAGACAGACAAAAGGCACCAGCAATCCTACCATCATGTAAAACAATTACAGGCTTTCGTTTTACACTCACTTGGCAGGACGGTACTACCTCCCCGGCTGGTTGCTGTCTACCAACCTACTACCTACTTGGATGTAAAGTATGGGTTTTAAATGTTGCAGCAAGGAGCCGCCTGGAGGAAGTGGAGATGTCATGCCTGAGGGCAATGAGTGGTGTGAATGTCATGCAGAGAATTTATAATTTGGAGAATAGGAGGTGATGCAGGGTTACTGAAGGTATTATCCAGAGGGCTGAGAAGGGCTTGAGGTAGACTGGACATTTATAGAGGATGGAGCAAAATATGACAACTTGGAGGATGTATAAATCTGAGATGGAGGGAAGGCAGAGTATTTATCATCTTAGGAAAGGTTGGAGGGAGGAGGGGAGGGGGGCATAGGATGTTTGTATATGGGGGCTTGGACATACAACAGCAAGTGTGAGTTTGAAAAAAGTGGTGGAAAGTAGTTATTATGACTCAAAGTGCTGTTGGAGTGTCAGCAAGGTAACATTTATGAAGGGATTCCAAGAAACCAATTAGCCAGGACTCAAGTCCTGGAGGCAATAAGTACAGTGCTTGCACTCTGAAGGAGGGGTGAGGATGTTGCAGTTTGGAGGGTCATTTGAACTGTAATATCAGCGCATTTCTGGCAAGACAGCAACTGAATAACAGTGAAGTTGTGTTGTTCTTTGTTGGGTCACCCTGTTTTGATGGAGTTCCGTTCCTAAGACAAAGTCGATAAATGAATTCGTCGCTAAGCAAGGAGCATACTATAATGGTAGTGGGTTTGTGTCAACCATCTTTGATATTGTTTTAATGTCACCTTTGCACCATTTATAAAATTTTTAGTATATTTTTAAATGTTTATAGAGTAGTGTACTGTACATTGTAATTAATAGAATAGAGGAAATCAACTCAATATACATTATTTAGGTATGCATACTGGTCAAGAGAGCCCATCATAAGTCTGAGTCATCAATAAATGAATGCATCACTAAATGAGGAAAGACTGTATACTGTATTGTTTGTGATTTATTCAAGGGAAAAGATAAATAAAATTTTGCCATTTAATCAGTATGTAACTGATTAATTTTTATCTGGATTCGTGAACATTATAATGTCCTGGGTTTGGTATAGTCAAGAGTTATCAAAATTCAATCACTGTTATACAATGAGGGTGCACTCTACAATACCTGCTTAAAAATTGCTTTAATTTATTTTATGCTTTTTAACTTCTCCTGTTTCCATTATCCATCCCATTCACTCTATTCCCTCAACACTGCTCATTTTCTGATAGCTTACCTCTTCTCTTCTATACTCTGCTCCTCCTCTTCCTCCTCTTCATCATCTGTCTCTCTAGATTTGGTACGCGGTCTAGGAGAGTCACGAGTCACATCAGACTCTGAACGAGCTAGAGAGTCAGAGCGGGTGAGTGATTCGATGCTTCCCCTCTCACTACCTGTTCTTGCTCCTCCAGTGTGAGGTGAACTTTCAACAGAGGAAGTGGAACCATACTTGAGCAGACGTGGACTGTTTATGAAAAAAGAATTGAAATAAATATAATTGCAAAAGAAGTTTTCATATTCAGTAGCTCTTTCCTACCTAGTATACAAAAAAAATTAATTTTTAGTACTCGGCACTTAAATGTTTATACACAAATCTGAATCTCTTTCAAATTAGCACAGAAGAACTGGCAAGCTTTACACTTCCTCCCATCAACAAGGCTGACACATTGCTTGCTTTTGCTTTCTCTCTCTCTCTCTCTCTCACACACTCTCACACTCACTCACTCACACTCTCACACCACACACACACACACACACACACACACACACACACTCACACACACTCGCACACACACATCTCGCACACACTTCACACCTCTCACACACACTCCACCTCACACACACTCCCACTCACACACACTCTCACACACTCTCACACACACTCTCACACACACTCACACCACTCTCCACACACACTCTCACACACCACTCTCACACACACTCTCACACACACTCTCACACACTCTCACACACCTCTCACACACACTCTCACACACACTCTCACACACACTCTCACACACACTCTCACACACACTTCCACACACACTCTCACACACACTCTCACACCCCACTCTCACACACACTCTCACCAACCACACCTCTCACACACACTCTCACACACACTCTCACACACACTCTCACACACACCTCACACACACTCTCACACACACTCTCACACACACTCTCACACACACTCTCACACCACACTCTCACACACACTCTCACAAACCCCCACTCTCACACCACACTCACACACACTCACACACACACACTCACACACACTCACACCCCACACACTCACACACACACCACACACACACTCCACCACACACACTCCCCACACACACACTCTCACACACACACACACACACACCACACACCCACACACTCACACTCACAACACACACACACACTCACACACACCACACACACACACACACACACACTCACACACACTCACACACACACACACTCACACACACTCACCACACACACTCACACACACAACACTCACACTCACACACACACACACTACACACACACACACACACTCACACACACACTCTCACACACACACAGCTCACTCGACAACCACAAGTAACTGGTCATGGAACAACCACAGGAATCGGGAACACGGACACTGGTACCCGACACAGAAAGCCAGGACATACTCGACACACTCATGCATCACATGTCAGACACAACGAGAGGGTGCAGCTGAGCAGCAAAGTTACTGGTAATTGAGATTTCAACCCAGTGGAGATCAGACATGGGACATAAGAGACCTGGAGAGCACAGGGTTGGTTCCCGAAAATAGGAAAGACCAAGATGATGGATGTCGGACTGAAAGACGCCAATTAAAAAGCATCACAGTATGGAACTTCACCAGGAGGCAGTGGGGCAGGAAATGGAGGAAACCAGTAAACGGATTATGGATATGTCAGCCCAGATGCAGGACAGACATGGGAAGTCAGTTCGAGAGGCCCTATGGAGCTAAGCGATCACTGGTTTTTTGAGTTTTGACTAATAAAGTAGAGTTACAAAGTGGAGAAGGAAACAGGAACTGGAAGAGGACAGGACCAAATTATAAAAGAGGGACACACAGGTATGGAAACTTCCTGCAGGAGGTTCAGTGGGACAGAGAAATGGTAGGAAAATCAGTAAACGAGATGATGGAATATGTAGCAACAAAGTGCAAGGAGGCAGAGGAAAGTTTTGTTCCCAAGGGAAACAGAAATAATAGGAAGACCAAAACGAGTCCTTGGTTTATCCAAAGGTGAAGGGAGGCAAAAACTAAGTGCAACAGAGAATGGAAAAGGTACAGGAGGCATAGGACCCAGGAAAACAAGGAGATTAGTAGAAGAGCCAGAAACGAGTATGCACAGATAAGGAGGGAGGCCCAGCGACAGTATGAAAACGACATAGCATCGAAAGTCAAATCTGACCCGAAACTGCTGTATAGCCACATTAGGAGGAAGACAACAGTCAAGGACCAGGTGATAAGGCTGAGGAAAGAAGGTGGAGAACTCACAAGAAACGATCAAGAGGTATGTGAGGAGCTCAACATGAGATTTAAGGAAGTATTTACAGTAGAGACAGGAAGGACTCTGGGGGGACAGACCAGATGGGGACACCAGCAAGGAATACACCAACAAGTGTTGGACGACATACATACAGATGAGGAGGAGGTGAAGAAACTGCTAAGGGACATCGATACCTCAAAGGCAATGGGACCGGACAACATCTCCCCGTGGGTCCTTAGAGAGGGAACAGATATGTTGTGCGTGCCACTTACCACAATCTTCAACACGTCCCTGGAAACTGGGCAACTACCTGAGGTATGGAAGACGGCAAATGTAGTTCCCATTTTTAAAAAAGGAGACAGAAAAGAGGCACTAAACTATAGACCTGTGTCATTGACGTGTATAGTATGCAAAATTCTGGAGAAGATTATCAGGAGGAGAGTGGTGGAGCACCTGGAACGGAACACGAGTATAAATGCCAACCAGCACGGATTCACGGAAGGCAAATCCTGTGTCACAAACCTTCTGGAGTTTTATGATAAAATAACAGAAGTAAGACACGAGAGAGAGGGGTGGGTTGATTGCATCTTCTTGGACTGCAAGAAGGCCTTTGACACAGATCCTCACAAAGAGATTAGTGCAGAAGCTAGAGCATCAGGCGCATATAACAGGAAGGGCACTGCAATGGATCAGAGAATACCTGACAGGGAGGCAACAGAGTCATGGTACGTAATGATGTATCACAGTGGGCACCTGTGACGAGCGGGTTCCCACAGGGGTCGGTCCTAGGACCAGTGCTATTTTTTGGTATATGTGAACGACATGATGGAAGGGTTAGACTCAGAAGTGTCCCTGTTTGCAGATGATGTGAAGTTAATGAGGAGAATTAAATCTGATGAGGACCAGGCAGGACTTCAAAGAGACCTGGACAGACTGGACACCTGGTCCAGCAAATGGCTTCTCGAATTTAATCCTGCCAAATGCAAAGTCATGAAGATAGGGGAAGGGCACAGAAGACCACAGACAGAGTATAGGCTAGGTGGCCAAAGACTGCAAACCTCACTCAAGGAGAAAGATCTTGGGGTGAGTATAACACCGAGCATGTCTCCGAAAGCACACATCAATCAGATAACTGCTGCAGCATATGGGCGCCTGGCAAACCTGAGAACAGCATTTCGATACCATAGTAAGGAATCATTCAAGACATTGTACACCGTGTATATCAGGCCCATACTGGAGTATGCAGCACCTGTTTGGAACCCGCACTTGATAAAGCACGTCAAGAAACTAGAGAAAGTACAAAGGTTTGCGACAAGGTTAGTTCCAGAGCTAAGGGGATTGTCCTATGAAGAAAAAATTAAGGGGAAATCGGCCTGATGACACTGGAGGACAGGAGGGTCAGGGGGGACATGATAACGACATATAAAATACTGCGGGGAAAATAGACAAGGTGGACAAAGACAGGATGTTCCAGGGAGGGGACACAGAAACAAAGGCCACAATTGGAAGTTGAAGACCAAATGAGTCAGAGAGATAGTAGGAAGTATTTCTTCAGTCATAGAGTTGTAAGGCTGTGGAATAGCCTAGAAAATGACATAGTGGAGGCAGGAACCATACACAGTTTTAAGACAAGGTTTGATTTAAAGCTCTTTGGAGCGGGGAGAGAGAGGGCCCATTTGCAACCGGTGAAGAGGCGGGGCCAGGAGCTAAGACTCGACCCCTGCAACCACAAATAGGTGAGTACAAATAGGTGGTACACACAACACACACACACACACACACACACACACACACACACACACACACCCCACACTCACACACGCAACAAAACTCACAGCAAAATTCACGCACACTCACGCACACCAAGCACTCCACGCACTCACACGCACTCACAGCATCACACGCCACCGCACCCACGCACTCACACACACCACACACACACTCACCACACCACCACACACACACCACACACACACACACACACACACACTCCACTCACACTCACACACACACACACCACACCACACACCACACAACACACCTCACACACACACACTCCCCCACACACACCACACCCACACCACAACACCACACCACACACTCACACACACACACTAAACCACCCCACACTCACACACACACACTCACACACACACACCCACCCACCACACTCACACACACACACTCACACACACACACTCACACCCCACTCACACCACACACACACACATGCACACACACACTACACACACACTCACACACACACTCCACACACACTCACACACAACACCACACCACACACACACACACACACACACGCACACAAGCACAACACACACACCCACACCACACACACACACACACACACACCATCACACTCACACTAAACACTCACACACACTCACACTCACACACACTCACTCACACACACACTCACACACACACACACTCACACACACACACACACACACACACACACACACACACACACTCACACTACACACACTCACACACACACACACACTCACACACACACACACTCACACACTCACAACTCACACAGAAGGGGCTCCAGAAAGACGGAGAAGTGGGGCACACCACCATGTGCTGGACACAGTGCACACAACTGAGGAAGAAGTGAAGAGGCTTCTGAGTGAGCTAGATACCTCAAAGGCAATGGGGCCAGATAACATCTCCCCATGGGTATTGAGAGAGGGAGCAGAGGCGCTATGTGTACCCCTAACAACAATATTCAATACATCTATCGAAACAGGGAGATTGCCTGAGGCATGGAAGACAGCAAATGTAGTCCCAATCTTTAAAAAAGGAGACAGACATGAAGCATTAAACTACAGACCAGTGTCACTGACATGTATAGTAAGCAAAATCATGGAGAAGATTATCAGGAGAAGAGTGGTGGAACACCTAGAAAGGAATGATCTCATCAACAGCAGCCAACATGG